CACCCCACCTCACCTGGGAACAGGGCCCACCCCACAACATCACTGCCTCACATGCATGGCACGCCCACCCCACATGCCACCATCCTTTCCCCTCCAACCGTAGCCCAGCCTGACACTTCTGTGACACCTCACAACGCCACCTCTCAGGTGACAGATGCTTCTGTCTGCTGTTTCTCACGCTTATTTATACATCTCAGTACACTCCACACCATGACCCACACGCCCAGCACTAGCACAAAGCAACCCCTGGGTTTCAAACTACAAGCACGTCACGTGGTCAGGTACGCAGATGTACGCTCTCGGCCACGCCATGCCCTAAAGCTGAGGAGGGGACGGTGGGCCTGCCACCCACCTCTGAAGGCAGTGTCCTGTCACAGCACAGCCATGGCCATGCTCTTCATCTGTGGCTGCTTTCAGAGCTGAGGGGCTGAAGAGAGACCCCAGGGCCCACAAAGCCTGAATCACCTGCCATGTGGCCCTTCAGAAGAAGGCTGTGAGTGACACCTGCCCCATGACCCTCTGTTCCTCTGTGACTTGCTTTACTCCGCCCCTGAGAAGCCGTGAGGGGCCCCCGCGTGTGATCTCCCAGGCAGTCATCTGAGACTACCTTCAGGGTCCAGGACAGGTGCCCGCCAGTGTCTGACAGCCAGGGCACACGCCTGGGCCAAGACATGGCAATGAGAAGATGCCACGACCTGCTCACACATGTGTGGGTGGGACCTGGGCGCCACGTCTCAGCAGCTTCCAGAAAAACCTGAAGTCAGCACAACCCTCAGTCTCACTCAGACCCTACTTCCACAGCAACTACTCAACAGCCGAGCCCTTCCACTATGACAGAGGCTCAAGGGCCACACCGTGCTTCCCGGAGGAGCAAGGCTCTCTGCTACGGGAACAGCGGCCCCTGCATGGTGAGACCTGGACGCGGGGTGCGTCGCCTAGCTCGCCTTATTGGGAGATCGGATTCACATTTCATGCTCCCCTGCGGCAAGTCTCCAGAACCCGGATTTCCGGAAGGCGCCCCTCCCGCGAGATGCCCCGTGTCGCCTGTGTTCGCTAATGCTTCACTTCAGAAGCCAGGCAGGCGGCTTCTGGAGCAGATGGGCTCTGTGGAGCAAAGGGACCGTGGACACTGGCAAGGAGGACCTGAGCATCCGTCAAACGCCATCAAAGGACAACACCGCCATCGCCACTGGAGCAAGCCCCACTCTTCAGAGGGGAGGGAAACATCACAGGCAGGGGCATGAAAATCGAGCTCTGGAGCTCTCCTGGCTCCGTCACAGCCAGGTCAGCGTCAAGGCCCTGGCACGGCTGCCGAGCCCCAGCCCTCTGAAGGAAGGAGGCAGGCGCACTCCACCCGCTCCGGAGAGGCTCAGCACCTGTCAACACAGCCAGCAGGATGGCAGGGACGGCCCCGGCTCTCCTCCCACTTCCTCAAGAGTGGCCTGAGGACAGGAGGCGAGGAGGTTTTCACCCTAATTTAAGGGTACACTGTAGGTGTCAAACGCTATGGGGTACATGAGATGCCTTGGCACGGGCACGCCATGCATAATAAGCACATCACAGTCAACCGGCCACCCATCCCCTCAAGCAGTGATCCCCAAACTGCCTGGAGAAACGCAGCCCCGGGCCGGCCCTCCTGATGCCAGCGTCCGCAGCACGAAACGCGGGTCCTGACCCAGCTCCCCGAGGCAGGGCCCGACTTACACCGGATGCCGTAGATGGTGAGCGGGTCCAGCTGCTTCTTCCCGTGCTTGCCCTGCCCCGAGAGGTTGGACACGGCCTGCACCTCGCGGTGGAACAGGTAGTCCAGCAGCGTGAGCGCCATCTTCTCGGCCGTGCGGCAGTTGGTGCTGATGTGCAGCATGTCGGACGGGATGATGGCGCAGCGCACCCGCATCTCGGGGTTGTTCTCGTCGCCCAGCCAGGTGCCGTTGGGGTAATCCTCTGAAAGAGAGAAGGCAGGGTCCTGAGATGGCCACACTCAGGGCAGCAGAGCACTGCGCTCAGACACGCCCAGCGAGCTGGGCAGGCCCCTCCCAACTTGCGATGCAGTCACCAAGAGCACTGGAGCCTCCGACTGCTGCCAGAGACAGCACTGACGAGGAACGGAAACGACGCCGCCACCCCCAGAGGGCCGAGACGTCCTTATATCCATTTCACATGGACGACTGTGGCGGGCAGGCGGCGTCCTGGCGAACGTGCACTCAAGGCCAGCTCTCAGAGCTCAGCCCGCCCCGCTAACTCAGCGAGGCCAGCGGCTCGCTGCGCACCTAGTGCCCCAGCATCTGCAGCGCCCGGGACGGCCCTGCCTACGGCTGGCACAGCACTGGCCAGCGTGTGCCCAGCAGCAGGAGCCTCCGCAGCCCCCAGCGGATGCCGCCCAGACCCGAGCGGGAGCACAGGCCAAGCTCATCCTCAGCTGGAAGAGGTGACATCAAACAAGCTCTAGTCTCAAACACCAGGTTCTCTTCACAGCCCCAGCAGGGTGAAAAGCTTTCAAAAAATAAAAATGTAAACGTCTGGCCACATCTGGAAGGAGACCACCTGCCACATCTGTCTCTGGAAGAATGCTGAGCCACCGCCTGTTCCTATGTTTAGAGGACTCTGCACTGAGAAGAGGCTCTGGGGCCTCCACACAGCCCACGGCGCCCAGCACGTCCCCACCGCCCTCTGCACTGCTAAGGGTCGGCCCGGCCTAGTATGAGAAAATGGCTCCGTGCAGGACATGCTGAGCTCCAACGGGTCTGCCGTTCTCCCCATGGAGTCCAGGCCAGCACCGCTGCCCTTACATGCTCTGTGAACCTCACGCCTCCCCGAGGCAGCTCCGCAGTGAGCCTGGGGTCTGCGCATAGCACTTGCCCTGACCTGCTCAGAGCACTGGAATCCTGTCTCTTCCTCGTAGCCAAAGTTCCTTCCTTGCCATATCCCTTAATCATGTGGAACTCAACCCTTGTGATCTTGTGACCTCAAAGGTCACTAAGAACAAAAAGAGAAAGCCAAGGCTGCGTCTGGGGGCAGGGCAGGGGGACATGGGAGCAGCAGGGCCAGGTGCCTGTGGGGCCTTGGGATCTGAGCACCAACAGGGTCACACACTGTGCTAATCCTGGACCTGGGACCCTGGAAGTATCAATATCCTGGCACACAGTTGGTATCTGCCCCAGTCACCTGCTGAGCGGAACCTTCCCCAGGGCTCCTCACACCTCACTGCCAGGGATGCTCTCCCACTAGCCAGCCACTCCCACCAAGAAGTACGCGGAAGCCGTAGCTCCAGCAACAGCAGCTGGCTTGCCGCCCGCCCCGTGGACACAATGCCAGCCCTTGCCTCTGCATAGCATAAGTCACAGCATGCCCTGGACACCAGCATTCTCAGGGCAGTTAAAATACAGCCGCCCACAGCGGCGTACTCAGGTGTGGGAATGCGCCACGTTCTCCACCGTCGGCAAAGCCACAGCGAGGAATCGTGGACAGGCCCACACTCCACATGGAGAAGAGAGGTAGCCAGGCACCTGGAGAAGCCGGAGCTTGCCAGCAAAGCACACTCCCGTGGCAACGGAGCAGGACTTCCCACCTGCCTGCCCAGGGAGTGACGCGTGCCAGCACCCCCACACCTCTCCACCTCTCTCCCAAGCAAGCCAAGTCCTCAGCCAGCTCTCAGCTTCTTAGCTGACCCTTCACAAGTCGCTGTCTCTGAACCACAGACTCCTTCTCTGCATAGTGGCCTCTCCGGGCTGTCCTCGCGGTGACCGATGCAGTAGGTGAAAGGCTTGACGGCTTGTCAAACCCCCTTTCAAAGCCTTCCTGTGCAACAGAGGAAAGCTGCACACACGATCATAAACCACA